ATCACCACATATACATATTACTTTTCTTTTTTTCTGTCTTTCTTTCTTTCTTTTTTTTATTCCCCCCCAAATGGAGACCAGATGGTGCATCCTATGCTATAACCTACTATATTCTTAACTCTATACTGGAAAAGATTCCCATGCCATGAGACATTTTTTTTCTAGAATGCCATTTTAGACAGTTCTTATTGTCTTATATTCCAGAATCAAACAAAACCACAGTAGTATATTTAACCGTTCGCCTTTTGCCTCCCTGACACCGAAAAGATATGTGGTGCCTCTTCCGACACCGCTTCTCCGACTCTGACACGCTGGGTGTCAGACAACTGAATTCGATTCCGACGCTGTCGATGCGGAGTTAGCAGCAGATCCCATAAGTGCCAGGGCTCAGTTCCACAAGACTGCCTGCTCCTCAGACACCAAGGGCCAGTCCTGAGCCACCGGGACTTCTGACCAGCTAGCTATAAATCGGGCATCCCGTGACCCCCTTCTCAAGTTTGGTAATTTGCTAGGGTGGCTCACGGGGCTCAGGAAAACGCTTATGTTTACCGGTTTATTAGAAAGGGTGTAATAAACACCCTCAGGAATAACCAAATGGAAGAAACGCACAGGGGCAAGGTATTGAGGGGAGCAGGGCAGTTGGGGGGGGGGTGCAGATTTTCTATGCCCCCTCTAGGAGCATCATCTTCCCAGTCCCCGGATGTGCTCACCAACCAGAAAGCTCTCCAGACTCCATCACTTAGAGGTCTTCATGGAAGGCTCATTACATAGGCATGATGGATTAAATCATTGGACATTGGTGATTGACTCAATCAACCTCCCCAGAGGTTGGGGTTGGGGCCAAAAGTTCCAGGCTTCTAATCAAGGCTTGGTCTTTCTGGTAACCAGCCCACATCCTTAAGCTGTCTAGGGACCTGCCAAGAGTTGCTTCGTGGAACAAAAGACACCCCTATGATCTTACACTCAAAAAATTACAAGGGACTTCAGAGCTGTGGCAGGAAGCAGGGACAAAGAGCAAATACCTTCCCTGCGATGCCCCATCCACCAACCCCCTTTGGTCAGACATTTAGGTAGCTTCAGATGTTTCTTTCTTGGAGGCTGTGCCACAGTGAGCATATGAGGTCCAGCATCCTAGCACCCCTCTGATTGTTCCCTCTCTAGTCGAGTCCAGGCAGGTGAAGGACGTGGTGGTTCTGTTTTATTCCATTTGCTCCAGACGGCTTGGAGGGGACTTCACAGGCCCCCAAGTGTTCCCCTGTCCTCACCACAGGCCTTCCCCAGGACCTGCACTTTTCAGAGCTAGGATATTCCATTTGGAGAAGTTCTGACATCCTCAGAAAGCCCTTTTTGGAGATGCAAACACCTTTGTCCAAAAGCTACGCGTAGCGTTTGACGTTGTACGCAAGTCAGTGCAGTGACTAGGATGCCATGAGATCTTAAGCAAGTCCTTTCCTCTCTCGGAGCTTCAAATCTCCTTTTGTGTCCGTGGAGGAGATAGTCTCACAGGCGCTTTGGGCCCCCACCTGCCAGCAAAGCTCTGTAAATGCCCTACAGGGTGAAAAGGGCGTGGAGCTCGGGCTCTGAAATCTGACAGCGGCCAGGGGCATCCCAGCTTTGCCAAATACTGTGTGACCTTCGGCAGCTTCCTTGAGCTCTCTGGCCTCAGTGTCCTTATCTAAATGGTGGGGATAACAGCCGTGTCCACCTCAAGGGGACGTGGGAGGGATGAATACAATAACCCAGGCTGGCTGTGACCACAGTGCCCGGCTCTTAGCCCAGGAACCGCTCTGCAATCTCTTTGCCTTTGATGCAATCTCTTTGCCTTACTGTGATGATAAGCCTTGGCCTTCCAGCGTTTGCCTCACCCAGCCACCCTGCCCGCATTCCAGTCTTTCCAATGAGGAAACAGGCGTGGGGAAGACAGCTCAGCTTGTGCCCATCATATAGGGGCGTGGCCAGTCTTATCCCCGCCCTGCTTCCGGGCTCTCCCTGCACCCACAAGGCAGGCCCCAGTGGGTGGCCCAGCCAGCAGTGGCTCCAGGACTGGGCGATGCTGTGGCTGAGAATCAAGCCAATGGTTCCTCTGCTCCCTCCTCATATGTGACAATTCCCCCGGCCCCCCCAGGTCCCACACCGAGGCTCCTCTTTCAGAGAACGAGCATGGGTAGGTAGGGAGGTCAGCAAACAATACCAGGTGCTGCCCAGCTCAAGGAGCCAGGGTGACAAATGTACTTGTGCTGAAAAAAAAAAAAAAATCGTCACACTCAGAGGAAATTTTTTCACCCCAAAACAAAAGAAGCACAACTCATGTGGTAAAGCAGGTAAGGGCCTAGCGGCAGGGGGAGGTGGGAGGGTTGGCTACCCCTGCTCTTAGGGTGACCCTCAGCTGGGGGGATGGGAAAGCTGGCCCTGCCCCCAGGAGAGTCAAGGTTGCCTTGAGACTGTGCTCTGAATCACCACGTAGTCTGGGCTACACTGGATCAGAGAACAGTCTGAGGTCTTTCCACCTCCCCGAGCTTTACCCTGGGGATGGCGACACAAGCCCTCTCCATTCCCAGGCCCTCCAACCCTGTTTGGGTGGGCACAGGAAGGAGTCAGAGCAAGAATGTGGCCCATCTTCAATGTCAAACCCAGCAGGCCTCCTCCCCACACTGCCGCCCACAGCCTCTGAGCTGAGGCCTTGGAGCATCCCACACTTTCCAAATCTTTGGTCCTCTCTGTCCTCCCTGCACCCCCCCCACACCCACGCACACCCAAGCTTCTATTTTGACCCTGACTCCTGACTTCCGCCTGGTCATTCCTTCCCTGCGGCAGTGAATGTCCTGAGTCCCACTGCCCTATGAAACAAGATTAATTCTTCAGAAGGAAAACCATCTGGCCATACAATTTTACATTTATCCTTGTGATCAATGAATCTGTTTCCCTTGGACCATAAATTCCGTGAGGGAAGGACCCCCATCTGAGTTGGCTTACTGTCCTATCTCCAGCGTCTGGGACAGGGCCTGACACACAGGGGAGAACAAAGACTAGATGAATGAGAAACGGCCTTTCACCTTCCTGGGGCTCCCTGGCGAGCTCAGAAAGGACCCCCTTAAGGGCTACCTGGGAGGTTCAGTCTGTTAAGAATCTGACTCTTTATCTCAGCTTAGGTCTTGATGTCAGGGTCGTGAGTTTAAGCCCTGTAGTGGGCTCCACACAGGCATAGAGCCTACAAGGAAAGGAAAGGAAAGGGAGGAGAGGAGAGGAGAGGAGAGGAGAGGAGAGGAGAGGAGAGGAGAAAAGAAGAAAAGAAAAAAAGGAAAGAAAAGAAAAGAAAAGAAAAGAAAAGAAAAGAAAAGAAAAGAAAAGAAAAGAAAGAAAAATAGACCCCTAGAATCATGGAGTGAACCAGGTTTGTGGTTGCCAAGGTGGGATCTGTGAAGGCAGCTGTGTAAATCCTGTTTTCAAGATTTTAGAAAAGTCTAGTAAGTCGTCTCCCCCCCCCTACCTGAGGACGGCTTACACAAGCGTGCCAAGATGGAAGCCCCTTTGGTTTTGCCCAGAGTGGTAACAACTGTCCAAAGGACTTTGGTTGGCCGTTGGTGGCATCACAGATCCCCAACCCCAATTCCAGATCATATGCCCAGTATTTCTGGTCTCTACCTTGCACCCAGCAGGCATGTGAAGGTCATTTGCTATCCTGCAAATGTGGACTGTGGCAGAGAAAATATTTCAGAGTGCGTGATGCGTAGGGTTCCCTGGTGATCCACGCGAGCTTTGATGGGAGAAGGTTTAGGATCCCAGTTTAACAGTTGCCGGAAGTCCCTCCCACAACCAACCACTTACAGGTGAGCACATGCCCAGACCACTTTCCTCCTAATCCAGAAGTGTCCTGAGCCCAGTAGGGAGAGGAGAGAAGGGAAGTGGGAGGAGCAAATGCATTCTTTTGGGTTCGGGGGAGGACCCCAGGACCAACTCTGGAGGGTGCAAAGCCCAAATCTCTATCCAGAGCTGCAAAGGGCACCCTTTTCCCTCCAGCCAGGGAATTAAGGCACTACCTTGGGTTGTGTCCTTCCACCCTGGCATAGGGCTTGCCCGTGTGACTTCCTTTGGCCAATGAGGAGCAAGCACGATGCTCCAGAGACCTGAGGAGGGCTTACGCACTGGGGCTTGCTCTCTTGCTGCTTTCCAAGCCTTTTAGCCATCCTGAGAACAAGCCCAGGCCAGCCTGCTGAGGCTGAGACCTCGTGGAGAGAGGCCCTGTAGCTCCAGTCATCCTAGGTGAGGCCAAATTAACCAGGGGCACCACCAAGTGACAGCAGGCACGTGAGCGGAAGGCCATCTCAGCAGGTCCCTATTAAAACTGCTCACCGCCTAACCATGAGCCAAATAAATGGTCGTTGCACTGAGCCACTGAGTTGTGGGGTATTTGTTACACAGCAAAAGCACCTGACACAGAGGTGAAGTCATTTGGTCAAGGTCAAAGAGTAGGGCTAAGATTCAAGGTCAGCCTTTCTGGCTATAGAGCCCATGGTCTTAGCCGCTAAAGCTTCACTGTTTACAAAGCACATTTCGCTTTATCGCAGGCCCCTAGTGAGCCCATAAACCAATCAGAACAGAAGCCCAGAGGTAGCAAGGAACCTACGGAAGGTCACACGGCTCGTCGGAGCTGGAGGGGGACATCCAGTCCAGCTCTGACTCCACATTCATGCTGTTCCCGTCACTCTGTGAACGCTGGGCAACAGCCAGAGCCGGGGGCACTGGTTTATGAAATGGCCTCTCCATCAGCACCTCGGAGGTCCCCCGCGGCCTCCTCGTGTTTCACGAAAGGCCTCATCTTCTCCCTCCCGCCCCCCATCCCCACCCCCGAGATCCTCAGACAGAACAGGTGGCCTCCCAGCCGGGAAGCTTTGGCTGCCTGAGCTGACCCTGCCTGTCCCCGCCCCGTTCTCCCCTCACTGCCCACTAGGAGCTGTCGGTCGTCTTGGAGACGGCAGGTGATGGGAAAGGATGGCCAGCGAGGTCACAGCGGGAACTGGGCAAGGCTGTGGACAGGGAGAGACCGTGCCCTTTGACCTTGCCGGACGGCCGGTTCAGCCATGCCCAGCCAGCGTAGGAGACCCGAGGTCGCCGGTAGGTCGTCAGGAGGAAAAAGGAAGGGCTTGGAGTAGGGGGAGGCCAAGGCAGCGGCCCACGCCCCCCCCATCAGGGGCATCAGGGAGCAAATGTCACGCCCCCACGTGGAGTGCCAGGGGTGGAAGCGGCCAGTGGAGAGCCCAGCTGAGGCCTGCCCTCACTGAGCATCCACAGAACGAGGATGGAGAGGTCTGACTCCCAGAGGCGGGCTGTGACGAGGCCCCTCTCTGCGCGCCCCCCCCCCCCCCCCCGCGGGGGCATGCACGAGAAACAGGCACCTGTCCGCTTTGGACTCTGTCTCCGTCTCTCTGCCCCTCCCCCACTGGCGCCCGCGCTCTCTCTCAAAAATAAATAAATACTAAAGAGAAAGAGGGGACTGTGTCATGAGGAAAGAAGATGCCCCGAAGTCCTTTGGACCCCGAATTGAATCCCACGTGCCCCGCCTACTAGGTGTGTGACTTTGGGCAGGCTTCTTCATCTCTCCGAGCCCTCGGTTCCCATCTGGAAAATGGGGGTGGTCACAAGGGCTGTTGTGAGGCGTTAAGTGAGAAAATGCAGTGAGAGCTTCTTTTTTTTTTTTTTTTTTTAATTTGGGATCACGTTTATTCATTTTTGAGAGAGAGAGAGAGAGAGCGAGCGAGCACAAGCGGGGGAGGGGCAGAGAGAGAGGGAGACACAGGATCCGAAGCGGGCTCCAGGCTCTGAGCTGTCAGCACAGAGCCTGAAGCGGGGCTCGAACTCGTGAACTGCGAGATAACGACCTGAGCCGAAGTCGGACCTTCAATCAACTGAGCCACACAGGCGCCCCAGGAGCTTCTTATAAACCACAGATGTGTAGGCAGAGGTGACGAGGGCACCCCATGGCCCTCCTGTCCATCGGCCCCTCCAGCACCCATGTTCCTCCAGGTCCTGGATGAAACCCCATCGGCTCCACCCCTCAGGGTGCGAAGGGCCCGTTAGAAGCCGTCTAGGCCCAAGCGGCCTGACTCCGCAGACGGGGAAAGTAAGAGCCAAAGAGGAGGGCTTTGCCCGGACACGACAGCTGGTGAGTGTGCGGCTGGCCCTGGAAGTGAGGCTCTGACTCGACTTCTTTGTGGCCCGTTGTGTGTGTGGTCAAAACCCTCCCCCACCCCCTGCGCCCCGTTCCTCTCTGGCCTGTGACGGGTGCAGGTGAATCTGGAGGACCCCTCCTTGCTCCCTTCCTGGCCAGTCCCCTCCCCCTCCTGGCTGAGGCGACACCGGGATTACACCAGGAGGCCGGGCCTCCCCGAGGAGGCAGCTCCATAATATCTGCGCGCAAAGGAACTTCCAGTCCCCGAGGAAGCCCCTGTGGGAGGCATCTGAGATGTGAAAGCCCTTGGTCCCTCCGGTCACATCAGCAGCTGCCTTTGTCCTGGTGGGATTCACTGGTGGCTTTGCCACATCCTGAAAGGACTCCCCTAGCCCCACCCTGGCCATCGGAGGAATATTAACTTCTTTCACATTCTAGGCAGAATCCCAAGTCCTCCCTCTTGTTACCAGGGCTGAGCGGAGCCCTTGTCACTCTCAGACTGCTCCTCTGGGGCGTCCCATGCCTCCCCACCCCTTCTGTCTTAGCACCCACCTCCCAGAGCCCTCTCTGCCATCTGCTACCTACTGGGGGAGAAGAGTGGAGGGCTCAGTCTGCCTCAGAGTCCCTCTTTGGAGCTGTCCTTAGCTAGCGCCCTCCCTGGAGGTATCTGCCAACCCCATTCCCAAAGGAAGAACCAAGCTCCTCGCTCTCCTCATCTTTCCCAGGGGGCCCCACACCCCAGGCCAGCCCACAAGATGCCCAGCGCAGCACCCGCACTCCAGCCAGCCAGGCCCAGACCTCCCTCCCGGCCTCGTCGCCAGGGCCGGCAGGTAAGGCCCGTCAGGGTAATGATGAGGCCACTCCCCACCTTCCTTGGGCCTAAAGATTGCCTCGGCCCTGACCTCTCCTGTGCATCTCTGACCCTCACTTTGTCACACTCTTCCATGTCAACGTCTGCAGGGTTGGTCTTTCAATTGTGATTTTATTCCTTCTTTGAAATAGGAAACATATACTTGGACAAAATTCAAAAAGGCATAAGGGGGTAAAGACAGGGGAAAGTAAGTCCCTCCCTTTCCTGCCTCCCAGTCACCCGGTTCCCCTCTCGAAAGGGCAGCCACCGCCCCCAGATTCAAGTGATCTAGTGATCCAGGGATAGTCTACACGTTTTTTTTTTTAATTGTTTTGTTTATGTTTATTTATTTTTGAGAGACAGAGTGAGACAAAATGAGAGCGGGAGAGGGGCAGAGAGAGAGGGAGACACAGAATCTGAAACAGGCTCCAGGCTCTGAGCGGTCAGCACAGAGCCCGACGCGGGGCTCGAACCTGCAGACCGTGAGATCGTGACCTGAGCCGACGTCGGATGCTCAACCGACTGAACCACCCAGGCGCCCCTAGTCTACACCTTTATAAGCAAAACCGCACGTGTGTTTGTGCAGTCTTTTCTATTCCACATCAATAGCAGCATCCTATACACCTCGTTCTGGACTTTGCTTTGTCTTCTCCCAAGAACGGTCTGCCCTCATTAAGCCATAGAGAGCCGTCTCTTCCTTTTTTGTGGCTGTATAGTATTCCACCACCTGCCTCTACCATCATTATTTCTCGGCTTCCTAGTCATGGGCTCTCCTGCTGTTGCCCATCCAGCTGGAATAGTGCCACAATAAATCCTCGTGTCATCTGTCGGAGAAGCTCCAGGAAGCTGAATCTCTACGTCAAATGACATGGGTGTTTATAACTTGGATCCGTGATGCCAAAACACCCTCCATGCAAGTAGTACCAACATACTTCGAGAGTGCCTGCTTCTTCATACCAATCTCCACTTAGTCTAGAATATTTACGAACTTGCCCAATCTGATAGATAAAAATTATATCTCTGCCCGCTTTTTAAAAAAGCTTATTTATTTTGAGAGAGAGAGTGCAAGCAGGGGAGGGGCAGAGAGAGAGAGAGAGAGAGAGAGAGAATCCCAAGCAGGCTCTGCACTGCCAGCTCAGAGCCCCGGGGGCTTGAACTCATGAGCCGTGAAACCACGACCTGAGCCAAAATCAAGAGTCGGATGCTTAACTGACTAAGCCACCCAGGAGCCCCTCTTCCCACTTTTAATTTGCATTTTTCTTATTATGGGAGAAAATGAGCAACTTTGCATATGCCAAAGAGCCATTTCTAGTCCTCTTCCTACAAACTGTCCATTCCTAACCTTCCCCAGATTTTCTTATGTATTTCTTTTCCTTATTGATTTATGGGAACTCTTTACATATTAAGATGTAGCCTCTATCTGTGATATAGGCGTCAGCATTTTCCCCAGTTTTTTTCTTCATTTTTAAATTTTTGACTTATTTCCATGGAGATTTTTTAAAATGATCTGGAGTTTCTGGAGTTTCTAGGGTTGGTCATACTTAGAAACCCTCTGAATTTCAAACCTTGACCCACACTAACTCCTCACGTCGGTCTATCGGCCGGACTTTTTCCTTTGTGGAAATGCCAACGCTGGAACCTGTTTTCCGCATCCAACCTCTGGACGGCTCCAACTGGCTTTGGCTCTCCCCCTCCTCCCTGCCCTGTCCCGCAGCAGTTTGGCCCTGGGTTTCTGCAGCCACCAACTTCTGTGTCTGTCCAGCTCCTTCCCAGACTGCTCCAAGCTGTGTGTCTGGTCTCTTCTCAGCACCCCTCCAGATGAAGCAATGCCTTAATCGCTCCTTCCTCATTTCCTACCTCTCCACTGTAGGCCACACTAGTCCAGCCACCCAAGCCCCCCTGCTCCTTCTAGAACGCAACCACACATAGGAACTTGATGCCAAAACTCTGACTCCTTGGCTCAAGCCGGAAGGGAAGGGCATCCGCCGACGATATGGCGGGTACCAGGGGGCAGAGCAGGAGGCAGGAAGGAGTTTCCCCAAACCTCTGCTAGCAAATCCCAACCTGGCTTCCTCCTTCGCAGCAACTTAGCTGAATTTCTATCTTTATTAATCAAATAACAAATCTAATTAATTACCTCAAATTGCTCTAATTGAATGTAGAACGAGAGCATGGACAAAATCCTAGGAAGTAATGAACCCAGGCCTCTGCAGCATCTGGAGTCGAAGTGATCTTTAATTTCAATTTGGGTGCAAAAATAATGTGACTACGGTCACCCCCTCGCCTCCCAGCCTGCTCCCTGACAGCTTCGGTACCACCCACAGCGCTGACGGGGGCTCAGCGTTCTGTTCTCCCTTCTTAGCAGCGATGTGCTTTCTGCCTCAACTTGTCTCAACCGAGAAATGGGTGCAAACCCCACCTGCGAGTGTTCGCTAAGTACTGGCTGGAGTCCATCAGTGCTTGGAGTGTGTACAGGAACAGACCCACTAGAGGCACAAATAATGAGATAGCAGCCAAGACCTCAGAAGCCAGGTCCATCCAAATCTCAGCTCTTTCCTCCCGCTGTGCCCTCTGCCAGGAACGCCTCTTCCCTACCATTTTCCCCGGTGTTTGCATCCCTGCCTTCAAGGCCAGTTCAAATGCCCTCTTCAAAGGAAAGCTACCCCCATTGTCTGCAGAAAGCGGCTGGAGGGACTGAGATGTTCTCCCCGCAGCTGCCTTCCAAGAAGTAACCGTGGGCCGGAGAGAGGAACAATATAACAGAACTTTCTTTTTTTCTTTTCTTTTCTTTTCTTTTCTTTTCTTTTCTTTTCTTCTTTTCTTTCTTTTCTCTTCTCTTCTCTTCTCTTCTTTTCTTTTCTCTTCTTTTCATTTTTTTTTTTTTATTTTAGGTGGGGGCAGTGGATGTATTCTCTGGATGTTACAGATGAGGAAACAGAAGCTCAGAGACATGAAGTCCTTTTCCCACGATCACACAGCAGGGTAGTAGCTGCTGTGCTTAAGCCTAAGCCTAGGCTGATGTGCTTGTCCTTCTGGTCCTGCCTGGACATTGGTAGAAAAAGCCACACCCCAAGTTTCCCTTCAAGCTCATCTACCCGTCTTCTCTCCGTGCCGAGCCACCTGATCTCATCAGTCCCCTCTCTCCCTGCTCCCCCAACACCTTCTCCTTTCCCTCACTCTACCCAGTCTTGCCTCCCAGCCCCTCCCCACCCCAGCCATGCTTTTGTTTCAGCCTTACCTCCAGGGGCCCTCAGATGAAGAAACCGGGATGCTAAGACAGCCAAGGTACTCCTGAGCCTTTCGTTCTTCTTCTTATGGTTATTATTGTGTATTGGTATTTTATGACTAGTCTTGCACTCAGCTGTCAGGTCTCGGTCAGCATCGCCTTTGTTGTGCCACGCTCCTGTTCAGACATCGACAATGGCTCCCTATTGCCTATGGCCTTAAGTCCAAACGTCTCTTTCTGGCTCTCAAAAGCCTCCAAACCTTGCCTGCCCGTGGGTCTGGCAGCTCCCACCAACAGGCTCTGTGGGAAATTTACTTAACTCTTTTGAGCCTCCATTTTCGCTTCCGTAAAATGGGCATCGCAGTCCCTGTCTTGTAAGACTATGACAAGGACACAGTGCGAAGAGACAGGTGAAGGCTGGCACCACAAGAACCCACAGGAAACAGCCACATCCACAGCCCCTACCTTCCCCCCTCCCCCCAGCCTTGCCTCCCAATGAGCTACACACACATTCCCCACGCTACCCAGGATGGGAGGTCTTCACTTCTCTAGAAACGCTTTTTTTTATTATTATTATTCGTACCTCCACACCTTTGTTCCACACTGTTCCCTCTGCCTGCCCATCCTTCGAGGCCAACGCAAGCTTGCCCCCCTACCACCACCACGTCATGATTAATTTGAACACCAGGCACAACCCAGAGTCCTCCGCCATCCATAAGTGGGATTTGGCATAAAACCGTCCCGAGAGCTGGAGCCTAATTCCACTCTCCAGGGCTAAGGATAAGCAATTCCCCACCAGCCAGGATGTCTGAGCATCAGGCTCAGGCTTAGAGCCTCCCACCCATCCAACACGTGATGACACCCACCAGTATCCCTCCTCCCCACATCCACGAATATCCCTTCTCTTTCCATCCTCTGTGAGATTAACAACCTGCTCTTTAGCAAAGTCACCCTAAGAGGCTCTTTGGGTACAAAGCACACCATACCCTTCCTTTCCTTCTAGATAAAAGTTGCATCTCCCTGAAATCTCAGAGGCCAGATCCTCCTGCCAAGAACATTCCACGTTAGCCCAACCCCAAGATGCAGAGAAACTCTGAGGGGCCACCTCCTGTCCCTCACTGTCCTTTTGACTCCAGGACCCGTGCGAGGGAGCTGACCCCCTCCACTGACTGACGGAGAAACTGGGTCCCGGATGGAACAAAAGGCTCACCTGAGGCCCCAGGAAGAGTTGGTGCAGGGGGGGATAAAATAGAAGATCTCTGAGCAGCAAGGTCGTCCAGGACTGCAGGGAAGACCAGCACAATCGATGGTGCGCCTGCAGTCATATGTCACAGGGAGTCAGCCGGCCATCGGCACCCGCTCCTCTCTTCCCTCAGCCCAGGGCTGGCCCCACAACCCTAGCACCTTAGGGAAGGAAGTGTGCCTTGATCACCCTAGCCCTGCACCCCTCCCACTCCTTTCACCCCAAAGACCACCAACTCCCTTCCCCAGACCCCAGACCACCTGCCAAGTTCCAGCCAACTTCCTGCCTCCTGTGTTACTTTCCTAGGCCTGCAGTAACAAATTACCACCGACAGGCTTAACGACCCCGACCCCGGATGTGTGCTCCCTCACAGCTCCGGAAGCCAGCAGCCCAAAATGCAAGCGCCAAAGGGGCCACGTTCCCTCTGAAGGATCTGAGAGATCCTTCCCTGCCTCTTCCAACCTCCAGGGGCTCCTGGTGTTCCTTGGCTCATGAATACATAACTCCAGCCTCTGCCTTTGCCTCCGGTCTCCTTTGGGTCTATGCGTCTCAAATTTCTCTCTCCTTTATCTTATCAAGCACCAGTAATTGGATTTAGGGCCCACCCTAAATCCAGGATGATCTCATCTCCAGATCCTGAACTTCATTATATCTGCAAAGACTCTACTTCCAAATAAAATCACATTCACAGGTGCTGGGAACTAGAACTTGGACATACCTTTTTAGGGGACGCGATTTAACCCCCGGGATCACTGATCCCTGCCCACCATGCCCCAAGCCGAACTGCCTCTGGGACAGAATCATTTAGGTTTTCCTAAAAACCTCAAAGGGGTTTCAGGGACTTTAGCAGCCTGAGCCTGGGGAGCTGCCCACTCGCCCCAGCCCTCTGACCCTCTGGAAAATGGCCCAGCTACCCTCAGGCCCTCCACGATGAGCCATGGAGGGGCCCTTGGACGTCTCTGTGGGCAAAGCATGGTGTGAGTGCAGAAGCCAAGCCCCAGTGCCAGGAAGATGGGGTTCAGTTGTGCTCTGCCACTTGCCAAACCTATGACATTAGATGACGCTCTGTGCCTCAGTTTCCCCACCTGTAAAATGAAGAAGGTAATGTCCTTGTGGAGGAATCCTTGTACTAGAAATAACACAGTAACAGCCCTGGAAGGGTATGCAGTACGTATTCCACAAGCAGCGGCCATGACTGTCCCCTTCCATCACTCTTTTCTTCCCAGGGAAGCCTCTCCCTGGCAGTTCCCCCCGACGAGGACACTCCAACTTTTCCCTCCGTCTCCAGGAAGTCAGGAAACTTGGTTTTCGTCGTAGCATTTCCCAAAGGAAATATTGTTATTCCCATTTTGCAAATAAGGAAACACACAAGAGGGGACCCAATTTGCCCCAAGGACAACGCACTGTGAGTGAGGGGGCTGAATGAAGCCCCATGCCCGGGGCCCGTTCATTGTTTTGAAGCCCCTCTATCTTGACTCCCTCGACCCTCCGACCCTTTACAGGGGCATGTCGCTTCCCCGGGTCACACCCTGACAAGGCTGTCATTGGAACGAACACTTGAAGGGCTTTATGGTTTGGTTTTTTTCCCCATTTCCACCTCGCAACAAGCCCTGGAAGAAGTAGGACGGATGTCATTGACATTATCGTGCCCATCATGCTGATGATGAAACTGAGGCTTAGGGAGGAGGAACTTAGGGCCCAACATCACACTGCTCTGGGCTGACAGCGGCAGAACTCAGGTCTCCTGACTCGTAATTCAGTGTTCCATCCGTTTCGCTACACAGTCCAGAACTCAGTCATTCATTAAACAGTGAAAAATATAATGATAGGTAATATGCAACGTTATTACAACCGTGAGAGGTAGATAACCCTTCATCCCTCTCTGGCAAGTGAGAAAACGCCAAGTGCAGGGTCGGGATTTGAACCTACATCTCTGGCCCGGCTCCAAACTGCCCCCAAGCCAGCTCCAAACCCACCGCGCTGCAAATATCTGCTCCTGCAGGATCCCGAGAGCCGTACGTCAGGGGATAAAAGCACCAGTCGTGGTCCCTGCCCTCAAGAGGCTTCCAGTCTCACAGGGGAAGTAAGCCCAGGTGGCCAGAGGCCGGCTGCGCAAGAGAAACGGATGGATACCGCGGCCTGTTCAGAGGGGTGGGCCAGCCTCACCCCTCCCAAAGGAGCCGCCCTCTCCTTTCCAGAAGCTGGGTTTGGAAGGGGGCTGGACAAGGGAGCTGCCACTCTGAGTAGAGCATCATCCCCCACGCCCAGGCCCATCCCTGAGATGGTCCATTTGAGGCAGAGAGGTGGTACTGGTGGGGTTCACTGGGAGCTGGTGGGCTGGGACCTTTGGGGCCCCTCCAGTCAGAATGACAAGGCTGGGAGGGGCATGGCTGGCCACCCGGACAGAGGGAGCAGGTGTCTCAGCCTCTCCCCGTTCCCTGGCAAACCTCCTCTTTTATAAATTGTTGTCTTTGCAGGGAGCCAGAGTGAGTTGGGGCTTCGGCATCTCTGAATGACAGCCTGGCAGAGCCAGGCCCATCTGCCCGGGGGCCATGCAGGCTCACATAGCATCCCCGCCCCACCAGCAGCCCATCCGCCCACGAGAACGCCATTGCACCCAGGACACACAGCATCCTGGCAGGTGCTGGCTCTACATAGCTGATGGCATGTGGGTTGTGTGGGCTTTTGGGCAAAGTCGCCAAAGAATCAGAAGGACTTTGGAACAGACTGCTTCTGGAGGTAGTGAGTTCCTCATCCCTGGAGGGGTTCCAGGGGGAGCTAAATGACCATGTGACGAGCATACAACAGCCAAGCTGCGCGCTCTGAAGCATGGTGGGGGCATAGAGGAGGCTGGATCAGGTGATCCCAAAGTTCTCTGGGTTCCCGTGTTACACCTGGGGTTACATAGACTGGGAAATCTTAGCACCGTGGTGGCTTCCCAAGACCATGACCTCTGTCTCCAGCTCTCTTTTGCCAGGAAACTCACCTGCGTGGGCTCCAGGAACTCTCCCGCTCGGGCCTCAGCCCAACTTCTCTGGATGCAAGAAACAGCCAGGAAAGGCTCCGCCCACATTCATGGACCGCGTTCCTCAGTAACTGTTTGCTCCTCACTGAGCATATAGGTGGCTCCTTCAAGATGCACTGCTGAGGCTGCTGGCTCCCTGGGCTTTCCCAGAAGTGACACCCCTCTGATCCCTGGGGAACCTCTGTTAGGATAGGGACCCTGTGAACTTCCTCAATCTTGGAAACTCCCCATTTTCTAAAGCTGACAGTTTATGAAACAGTTGACTTTTGGGATCAGAAGTGGGAGTTTCACATCACAAGCTCCATGATGGCAGGGACCCGGTCTCTTCTTGCCCATGGTGGCACTTAAATAGTTATGGATCAAATGAACAAATATCTAAGTAAACAAATGATATAAAGGTCAGCTCATCCACGTTTCTTGCAGTCACCTGTGGAATATCACCTCTGTCCTCTCTCTGAGGAGCTAAAGGAAGAGTATGACATTCTGGAAGGCACATCACCTCCGGGGTCAGAGTACCTGGGTCCTAGTGCTGCTTCGTCAACCACCCTGCTTCATTAGCTGCAAAATGAGGATAATACTTCCTACTTCAGAAAGATGGATGCCAGGGGCACCTGGGTGGCTCAATCTGTTAAGCGTCTGACTTCGGCTCAGGTCATGATCCCTGGGTTCTTGGTTCGAGCCCTGCGTCAGGCTCTGTCCTGACAGCTCAGAGCCTAGAGCCTGCTTTGGATTGATTCTCTCTCTCTCCCTCTCTCTCTCTCTCTGCCCCTCCCCCACTTGCTCTCTACCTCTCTGTCTCTCTGTCTCTCTCTGTCTCTCTCTCTCAAAAATAAAAACAAACAAAAAGAAAGATGCCAGGACGATGCTCTGAGACATTCTTAAATTGCCTGGCATACAGTAGGCACTCAGTAAATGAAGCTTGCAGTAGTTACTAAAGTCATTAGTTCCCCAAATGTCTGCAGTTATCCTTCCAAGCACATGGCAGGATCCTACTTCTCCCCTCCTTGAGATTGGATGTGGCATATAATTTGCTTGGACCAATGAAATGAGACCCAGAAGTGGTGTATTACCCTTGAGGGAGACTTTAAAAGCACATGTGCACCTCACCATGCTCTCTTTCTCCGGCCTCCACAGTCATGGCAGCAATAAGGTAGAGCCACATAGCCCGGGTCCTGGAATGAGGAAGACATGGGCAGATTCCTCCAGCTGACCCATGATGCAGGAACATGTGGCAGATTATAAAGACGGATGCAATATTCCTCCCGTCCCCGTGTGTGCTTTCCTTTGCAATATGACTTTGCTACTCCCCCCATCCAGAGATGGAGCCTATTTCTATATCCCTTCCCTGCTCAGCTGTGTGACTTCCTTTGGCCAGTGGAATATTAGAAAATGTGATGCAGAGACTTGCGAAGTGCTTGCACACTGAAGCTTACTCTCTTTTGTGGCTTGGAACTCAGCCACCGTGTAAATGAGTCAGGGCTAGCCTTCTGGAGGAAGCGAGACCTCACAGAGAAAGGCCCCCGCTGTCCCAGTTGAAGCCCCAAACATGTGAGTGGCTTCTATCTAGCTCCATTTCGATTGCCACACTCCACAAGAGCTACCCAGCCAACCCTGGTTTTTGGAGTGGTTTGCTCCAAAAACAACAAAGGCTAACTGATACCACGTAGCATGAATGTAAAATAAAGCTCAGAGTATTAAGCCACTGACCTCTAGGGATGTTCATTACCACAGGATAACTTAACCCATTTTGATTGATATATTTCCTTCCCCTTTCCCTCTAGGAAAGGAAGAACTTCCCAATTAAGTTGCAGTGGGCTTTGCCCTTCACAGTTGCCCTCCTGTTCAACCATTTCCTTCCATGAAGCCCACTCTCTGCTTCTTCTGAGGTAGGACCTTCTGCCATTGACCATTTCCCTAGGATGAGTTATTCACTGGGCACATCATGGAGCCTTCTCCTCACCTCCCATGTGTGGACCAACCTCTCTGGGGTTGACTGGGCCTTAGAGACGATATATGCCCATGTTGTGACACCTGTCTTCATGATGGACTCTGAGGCAAGGCAGGTTAGTCCCAGTCCACTGTCAGCGTTCGACCACCCCCTTCACCTATATCATCTGGTTGCAAAATACAGTGAAAAGGACATGGCTTTTTTTCAGCATCACGCACACCTTGGTTCAAATTCTGGCTTCCCCATTTGCCTTTTTTTTTTATTTAAAAAAAATTTTTTTAACGTTTTTATTTATTTTTGAGGCAGAGAGAGACACAGCATGAACGGGGGAGGGTCAGGGAGAGAGGGAGACACAGAATCGGAAGCAGGCTCCAGGCTCTGAGCCATCAGCCCAGAGCCCGACGCGGGGCTCGAACTCGTGGACCGCGAGATCGTGACCTGAGCTGAAGTCGGACGCTCAACCGACTGAGCCACCCAGGCGCCACTCCCCCATTTGCCTTTTAATCTTGGCTGTGTCATCTCTTAGTTGTGTGGCCTTGGGA